CCCACTTTTTAACTGTAATTAAATACTACGAGAGTAAATCTTCCACTTGGTAAACCCACTTTTTTAACTGTAATTAAATACTACGAGAGTAAATCTTCCACTTGGTAAACCCACTTTTTTAACTGTAATTAAATACTACGAGAGTAAATCTCTCTCTTCCACTTGGTAAACCCACTTTTTTAACTGTAATTAAATACTACGAGAGTAAATCTCCCCCTTCCACTTGGTAAACCCACTTTTTTAACTGTAATTAAATACTACGAGAGTAAATCTCCCCCTTCCACTTGGTAAACCCACTTTTTTAACTGTAAATTAAATACTACGAGAGTAAATCTCCCCTTCCACTTGGTAAACCCACTTTTTGATGTGGTGTTAATTGTACAGATGAAGCAAAAAACGTTTTCCATGCTTTTCCTCTTTGTAACTGTAGCGAAGTATAACAATATATATCTTCATATTTTACTATTCGTGTTTATGTACCACTAAATTTCATTTTGACAGGTTCCAGAGTCGTAAGGTGTAGATCTTTGGATATGTGTGAAGCCATACATTCTAGAACATTCGACTCGTTTGTTAAGAAAGTTTTTTATGAAACGTTTTTTAAAACTTGATTGATGATTTATCAGAACAAACTTTCTACCTATTCAAGTCATTGTATAAGTGTTTTAAAATATGTTTTACCAATTGCATCTTATTGGTTTTAACAGTTAAAACTCGATTATAAGGTATTACCTTTTTCATGCTTTTTGTATTTTTTGTTAACGAAAAGTAGGCAGTGAAACTATGAAACAGGTTTGTAAATATAAATACAGTAAACTAAACTTGTTTGAAAAAGAAAGGAATTGCTATTTAAAGTTTATTGTTTATATACATACAATGAAACAAACGTTGTTTATCGTAAGTTATGTTTTTACTGGTTTCGTGGCTTCTTTAGCTACTTTTAATCTTTATTATAATAGGCTTAGAAAACCGATATAAGATTAACACCAATCTTGCCAAAAATAGTAGCTCCATAGCTACAGAAAAATCATAAAAACTCACGATTTTCTTCATTATTTATTGTTACTTTGTGGCCGCTCGACAGTTCAGCTGTAAATCTACTCGTAGTAGACACAGCTTTTTACTTAATAACAAACCAATAATTACTTCGTCATAGTTTCATGTGTGTGTGTGTGAGTGTAATGAACGGTAAATTCACCATCTTAAACGTTATTTGCTTTTGCTGTATTTTTAGTTTACACAATTGACCATATAAAATCATTTAGTTTATTCATCTGATACATAATCACTTATTCCATCTAAAACACAGAAGCAGAACCTTCCAGAACTTTAGCATGCTCTTCTTTGGAACCTTACATTATCAATAGCAATTACTCCGTCTCCATTGTGTCCGTTCATCAAGCCTTCCAGGAAAAACTAGTAGAAATATTGAATAAAAATATTACCATCTTAAATATACCTTCAGATAAGTATATATATATATATCAAAAATATTACAATTATGTATGAAAAATATATAAATACGAGTGTAAAACAGATATTATCTCAAGTCATAGGTTTTCTAGCAGGACATGAGAATGTAGTGGATGAAATAAGACGAAGATATAGGTTTGTTCAAATGTCTGGTGTAACAAATTAGGGCGCGAAGTTTTACCTTTAATATGTGGACACACACACACTAATTTTAATTTATTATTTTTACAGATATTCTAGACCGTATACTAAAAACCATCTGCCGACATATTATAGTTAAAAGCTATCTTGTAAATGTCTGGAAATTTTAACATTTATATATTTTCAATCCACAGTTGAGTTTAAAAAACGTTAAGCTTATGAAATATTTTACCAATAATGCAATTTATGTTTGCTTACTGCTGTAAAAGACGTGCATAGAAAAATCCGATTCAATCATTGTTGAACTATTAAAACCGTGAAAACACAGCTGGCTTTGTAATTTACCATCGTCACATGAAATGGTTATTTTAGTATTTGAGGTTAAAACCTTAAATTTTATATAATAATAATAACTAAAAAGTTATTTTATACCTATTAAAGGCGTAAAAAATTAACATTTTATGCATGTTGTTCACGAGTTACAATAGATACATAAAAATTAATAGTGTTAGTAATGATTATAAACTCAAATTCGGCATTTGTAGTGTTATTTTTGATACTATTTTCATGGATGAAATAACTGCTCTGAGGTGTATAAAAAGTTGCTTTTTATCTATCGAAATAAATTTAGTTTTGAGAAAGAATGTTACGGTGGTTCAGTGGTAACGAGGGCATACGGCGCTACAATATGGGCATAACACAAATAGCCCATTGTGCAGCTTTACGCTTAACAAACAAAAGAGCGAAGAAAACACACGTTTATAATAAAGGGGAGTATATTGTTGATTGGGAGACGGCAGTTGTTTGAGTGATAGTGTCAAGCTTGGTGAAGTAATTAATTAGTATATGTTTAAATATACACAAATATCATTCTGGTTATTCTGTCTCTACTAACTAACAACAACGGGGGATTATTTGTCACGCCAGTTTTGTATATCCGAGCCATAATATCGCCAGTAACTTCAGTTTTATGTTCTAGCTCTGAAGAAACAGAAAAAGCAAAACGTCCGTTAAAATATGTTTTCATCTAATTAGTGGCGTAAGTATGCCCCCGCAATTGCAAGGGGGCCAGAAGGGCCTGACACAATTAAGAATTGCCGACAGAGGGAGAGAAATGCGATTTAATTTGTTTAAGCAAAGGACGGTTGTACTATTCTGTTAATGATGTCAACCAGCAAGAATCGTGTCTACATTCACAGGAAAATAAATGTAGGGGGACCAATTATTTTTATTTGGTGGGGGGCATCGTTTCTAGTTATGCGACTGCTTATAATTATATGGAGTGTAAGGGTCGTTTTTTTTCTCCATGTTTATTGTCAAATTGCCAATACCCTGTTGAACCCTAAGTTTCTTTTGTCCAGTTTGTATAAACACCAATATAATCAGTAATTAATAAATTTTTAGTCCAATGTACAAAAAGGATGGGTCATTCAAACCGCCTTTTTTTTAAATCTGAAATACGGACATTTTGCATAAAATATGTTTGTTCTCTGATAGTTTATGTTAATATAAGGTGAATTTTGTGGCTGGAGGTGAGAATCTAACAATTACTACAGTGTTTTTCTGATGAACTTGATAGTATCTGAGCTCACCCGTAGATCACCGTCTATATCCAAAGTGAGATTAATCACTTCCCACCAGTTGTCGTTTGATGGCTCTTCTTGTAGGTATATTTCTTTCGTTTCTCCATTCTGTCGCAAGATGGTGTACTTATCGGCTCCTCCTCCCTTCATGAACAAGTCCATCGAAAGACATCCTTTTCGTCCTCCATACATTTTAAAGTATGGTGTTATAAGACGGCCACCGCCATAACCTCCATCTGCCTTTATCTCAATTTTCAGTGAATAACCTAGTAAAAAGAAATAAATACCGATTTTACATGTAACAAGAAATCTGTAAAAAACAAAGAGACAGTTTAGCCTAAACAACTGCCTTATAAATGGTGATATATCTAACAAGTCCATCGTGGACATTGTACGTTCCGAAACTCAGCTTTACTTAATACATTTTAGAATAACAGAACAATGAAAAGATATACGGAACTGGGGATATTCATATAGCGTTAGGAAAATTTCATTTTATCGTCTAACTATTTCTTACCTGTTCTACCTCCTAAGGTTCCATACGAGCGTTCAAAATTTGAACTCATACCCTCTTGGTTAACAATGCCACAGTCATTTTCCTCAAAGTCACACTCAAAGTCAGGTACGGTGGGAGGAGGAGGTCTGGTCTCTCCTGCAATGAAAAAAAAAAACTGATCCACAGGCAGATAACAAAAACATAATACCATATTATAAAGATATTTAAAATTAAAGGATTATTCTGACCCTTTAAATACGAAATATATCAGTCTTTGAAATGCTGAAACGTTGTTAAACATAGATTAAAGGATAATGTTCCAAGTAACTTCAAGAAAAACAAGTTTCATAATGACAAAAATATTGTGAAAGTTTAATTTTAAGTACAAAATTGTATTATGTGAAAGGATATTTAAATATCGAATATATGTAAAGGCCAGTTGCCTCTTGGTGACGTTTCATTCGTCTGTGTCGCTTAGCAACAAAACCATAATCTGATATTTTTGCGTTAAATATTGTTACGACAGCGGAAATCACGTGACCCTAGTAACACGTCATGAACTTCTAGAAAATTCATGTCCCTTCCTGAAGCCTCGAGTGTTTACTAGATGTACGGTATTCTTGCATATAAGACCGCCAAGAACTGACGGCAACAATGTAATGTAATTGAATTGCAGACAGAGAGAGACTGACGATTGAGTCGAGCACGTGAGTCGTTCGTTGTGAATTATAGCGTTTGTTATAGCATGACTGTGGAAATTAAGTGTATTGCAAAGTGGTATTGAGAAGGAATAAACTAGTTTTATTTAAGAAAGGACTTGTATCGCTAAAGTTTCTTCGGAAAGAATTTTTACGGAAAATTAACAAACGAACAGAGGCGTAACAAATTGGTGTCAGAGAGTGGGACGGAAAAGAAAAAAAATGGAAACGAGAAGCAGCAAGTCAAACTACAGCTTAGCAGATTTGATGGTAGCAATACAAGAGCAGCAAAAGAAACAAGAAGAAAGATTACAGCAGTTGTTGGAGGATAAAGAAAAGAAACAAGAAGAGAGATTACGGCAGCTGTTGGAGGAAAAAGAAAAGAAACAAGAAGAACGAGAAAATAAACAAGAAGAGAGATTACAGCAGTTGTTGGAGGAAAAAGAAAAGAAATAAGAAGAACGAGAAAAGAAACAAGAATAGAGACAACAGCAGTGGCAAGAAAACCTGCAACAGTGGCAGCTCGAACAGCAAAATAAACATGAGAGATTACAGCAGTTGTTGGAGGAAAAAGAAAAGAAACAAGAAGTACGAGAAAATAAACAAGAAGAGAGACTACAGCAGTGATTGGAGGAGAAAGAAAATGAACAAGAAAAGAGACCACAGCAGTGGTTGGAGGAGAAAGAAAATAAACAAGATGAAAGTCTCCAATAGTTGAGAGAAAGCCAGCATACACAAATGGAAAAGATGAGTAAATTTCAAAGTGAATAAAATACATTAAAGGACGATTTACTGTCTTTTACACAAGGAGGATATATTAGCCATGGGCCTAATCAGCCCCAGACAACAGGAAGCCCCTTCCAGACCCCGCAGCTAAACCTTAATGCCTGCCAGAAATCACATTCCAGACATGAGTGTCAGCAATAGGGGTGATCTAGTACAAAGGAAGCCACAGGAATTCGATGGGAAGGCATCATGGGAAGCACATAGAGCACAATTTGAGCGCCTGGCAGAAATGAATGGATTGACAGAGGAGCAGAAGGCAGTATATCTGGCAACGAGCTTGAAGGGACAACCACTGGAAATACCTGGACAGTTGTCAGCAGACGACAGGCACAACTATAGAGCACTGGTAGCTGTTCTAGAACTCAGGTATGGAACTCAAAATCAGTCCGAAGTCAACAGGGCTAGGTTTAGGACTAGAGTCCATGCTAAAGGGGAGAGCCTGCAAGAGCTGGCACAGGATTTGGAAAGTATGGCACACAAGGCCTACCCAACTGCACCACTCGATGTCCTCAAGCTGTTGCTGAGGGATCAGTTTGTAGATGCCTTGGACAGTCCACAACTGAAGATACAAGTAAAGCAAGCACATCCCTCTACTATGCAGGATGCAATGGCCAGAACTGTTGAATTTGAATCCTACATTAAGACCAGCACAGAGGTACCAAGGTTGGTACAGTCACCAGGATTCAAGGCCAGAAAAGGTCAGCTTTCAGAGAAGTTTGAGGGACTTTGCTGGCACTGTAACAAACCTGGGCACAAGAAAGCTCAATGCTGGAAATTTCAACACAGGGAAGATGCCACGGAAGGAAAGGCTGCTACCCAGAAATGTTGTTGGAACTGTTGAGAGCAAGGACATATGAAGAGCCAGTGTAAGAAGAATACTACCAACTAGTCAGCTTCGGGAAACCAGTAATGGTTGGTGTTGAGGGACGCTCACCAACCCCCATCGTGAAAGTCCCAACAGCTAAGTGTAAATGGCAAGCACGCATAGTATCTATGTGACAGGAAAGCTGTATGGACCAAAGGTGCAACTTTG